GGGTGTATGTAAAGCTGGACATACACGCTAATAATGTGCATAGCAGCCTGGTTTATTAGCTATTATGGATATTCAGATTCATGATTCCGCCACTGTATGACCTGTATTTATATTCTGGTGAGCTGTTCCTCTGTGTCTCTACCCACACCCCACCGATACACGACGTAAATCCATACCGAAAATCTCCCAGCATTTGAAAAGCTTCATTCCAGCCAGGGTCTTTGATTTCTTACCTTTTGTCTTCCACCCATAAGCAATTCGTATATAAAATGCTCAAGCTGATGATTCCTATATTATAAACGGCAGATTAGAGGGTGGAAGAAGTTGCGGTGGTTTTTCATATAATGATATATCACCTTTCCTAGTTTTAAATCGTCATAACACAAGAGATTAAACGAACTTACCTAAGTGATGTTCGATCTCAATTATATGAAGCCTCGTCGAAGTAAATAAGTATCGTAGTACCTCTAGCCAACGGTCGATCCACACGCATTCCAAAGAAAATCGATAAGCTGTACCCCTCGCTCGTACACTCTGCTGTCTAGCGCAGGTATCATTCATTTTAAAGCAAACTAATTGTTGCACATTGGGACTTTTCGGGGTAGGGTGGGACTTATTTACTTCGACGAGGCTTCATATAATTGAGATCGAACATCACTTAGGTAAGTTCGTTTGATCTTTCAACTATATTCCGCCTCGTCTCCGTAAATAAGTATCGTAGATGTTTAAAGACAAATGCAACAATTAGCCTGAAAGAGTTTATTGAACAAAACTCTCATACTGAATCTATAGAATACAACTTTGGACGCAATCCTAAGAGAATATAATAATAACAACTGGAACTAACAATCTAAAACCGCAGCTGCGAAACTAGAGTTACTAACTAAAGGTCTATTTTAGAATTTAGCAAACGTTTCGGACTTTTCTGTCCATCCTGCCGTTCGCTTGATGACATCCAAACTTACTAAAAATGAAATGTTAAGAATTCTAAAACAGCATCTACAGAAACCGAAAATACATTACTATTTTACTACTATTATAGAAGTGGTGATTGATGCCAAACAAATATCAATCGATTGGCTAGGTACGTTGCCTAATCGGAGCGCCTCCCAGATAAGATTGCGGCCACCAGGGTAAGGTTGGTCCATAAACGATGAGGCGTTCTATCAAAAGAAAGAAGTAGATTTCGATTAGGTGGCAAACAAATAGCTTTGCTAATCATCAAGGATTTAAAAAGTGGGTACCATGGTTGTGCACTCCAGAAGGGAACTATAACAATCCCTTCTGCTTCATCTTCAAGAATTTTTTGAAGGCACCGTAAAACGAGACAGAAGGGTGGAAAGGCGTAGAAATAGAAACTTCTCCAACAAAGCGTGAAGGCATCAGTTGCAAAACTGTCCGGATCAGCAAACCAAGAAACAAAACGCTTACACTTTGTATTAATTCGAGAAGCAAACAAATCAATGTCAAGCTTCTTGAGATTATGAACAACCTGCTTGAACGCCCTATCGTTGAGCTCCCATTCTGTCTCTGTATATAATTGTCTAGATTCCCTATCTGCCATTATATTGTGCTCAGATTGTATATATGAGGCATACGAAAAAATATTTCTGTGTTCACACCACTGCCAAATTTTTCTAGCAAGGAGATTTAATTTTGGATGTTGGATGCTTCCCATACCATTGTTATAAGCAATAGCGGTTGTATTATCTATGCGACACAGAATATTACAATTCGAAAGATTCTTTGCAAAGCATTTAACACCAAAGAATGCTGCAAGCAGCTCAAGATAATTAATATGTTTATCTCTTTCTATACTATTCTAAAATCCGTGAGACGCCTTGTCCTGACAAAAAATACCCCAACCAGTGGTGGATGCATCAGAGAAGATCTCTAACTGAAAATTATTTGCCGAAATGTAATTAAAGGAACTACTAATATTATCGATCCACCACCCAAAGTCTCCAGTTAAATAATCTGGAATAATCATATAAGAATTAAAATCACCATTAGATTTCTTGAGAGCTAAACTCTCAAACATCTTCGTATAAAGCCAACCGTATTTTACGGCAGGACAGGCAAGTTAACGTACCAATAAAACAAGCGAAATCTTTAATTTTACAACGTCTTAATTTGGAAAATTTATATGCCAATCTAGAAATTCTCTCCTTCTTAGTTTTAGGCAGAGAAACGGTCATATCAACCGAATTGTAAACGGAACCCAAATACTTACATACCTGCTTGGGAAGAAGTTTACTCTTAGTATAGTTTATTAAAAAGCCTAAATTTTCCAACAACTCAATTGTTTGCCTTACATTTTGAGTACAATCCAAAGCTGTCTGGCCCAGCAAAAGGAAATCATCTAAGTACAAAACGGAGAGGAAACCTCTTTCTCTTAAATAATTCACCACGGGTTTCATTAATTTGGTGAAAATATATGGAGCACAATTGAGCCCAAATGGCATACAGGTATATTCAAAAATTGTGCCTTTAAACTTAAATCGAAGATATTTCCTGTATGACTTGGCTATAGAGACTAACAGGTAAGCATCCTTCAGATCCAGTGAAGACATGAAGTTACCACGCCCAATTATCTTACTCACTATTTTATGCTCTTCTAATTTAAAATGACTAACTGAAATGTAATCATTTAACGATTTGAGGTTGAGAATAAGTCTTTGACTACCGTCAGGTTTAGGAGTTATAAAAATATTAGATAAAAACTGATCCGTAAGAGGGCGCACTTTCTTCAAGGCCCCAGTAGACAAACATTTTTTAATATTATTTTCCATCTCACACAGTTCTGTTGGAGACCATTTAGGTTCCTTCGGTATGTGAGACTGACGAGGCTTCTTAAAGAATGGAATCCTAACTCCTTTAATCCATGACAAGACATGCTTGTCCGACGTTATTTTGCACCAGTTTGCATAAAATAATTTTAATATGCCAGCTGTTTCACCAACCTCAGTATTCATCGGCGATATCTCCCTCTCTGCCCTTGTTGGTCCAGCCGTACTGGCTTTCTTTCTTGAACTCGTCGGAACTGCTGTTTTTCTCCATAACTGGTCCGGTAATGCTGTTGGAGCGGCCTCCCTCCCATGCGTAGACTTCGTTGCGATAATCGAGGGAGGCTCTTGGAGTTTAAAGCCCGAGCAGTGGAGCTGGATGGTTGTTTGTGGTCCCTCAATTCTTTACTTATTTGAACCAAAGACTTAGGCTGCTTAACTCTATCTTCAAGGTCTCTTCCAAATAACCAGTCATCAACTGGGGAATCTAATAAAATATCTCTTAAATCCTTATTGATATTGAGGACGGCAAGCTCTCTACGTGAAACAGTTTCTTGGTGAAACAAATCTGCCAAAAGCCGACCAGCGTCCCCCAACTGCCTGATATAGGGTCTATCGCCTTCTTCCTCTTTTTTATCCAACATAGAGGATAAAACTGCTCCCAATGATGCAATCGTAGATCCAATTTGGGCCTGAAACGCTCGAAGTCGGGTATCTCTGCGTTTCACTGAGACTGACACAGCTGCAGCCACTAACTCATTGAGCTTAGGGGGATTTACAAGGGAGCAGTTTTCCGGAGACGGATACTTACTCAACAAGTCTAGTCTTTCATCTTCGTCCAAGCCTTGTTGTAATATCCCAGTCCAAATTTCAGATAAAGTGTGGTGTATAGGGGGAGCAGACATGGATTTCTTAACAACATTTTTCCCCAGGAGAAGTAGAACATCACATTTCAAATCAGAGTTAGAAGTCGAGGCAGCACTCTCATCGTTCTCCATAACGCACTCTTGTTCAGGTGCATCGGTATCGCTATTTTCGCTGTGAGAAGAGGCGTCATCTTTGCGCCCACCAACGGTATCGGGAGAACTAGAAGAGCTAATTCTTCTAACACGCCGAAATCTCGGAGAATTGGCAACACCTTCGTGCCCATTATAATCATGCTTGTCGTGTACATATCGAGATTTATTTCGATCATGGACCGAAATGGCAACATCTTCGTGCCTAACACGCTTGTTCCTTTCCGTAGTCATAACAGAGCTACTTGCAGAAACGGAACGATTACGTTTATGTTTACTTCTAATCCTACTCCGGCTGAGACGCCTAGAACGACATTGTCTACCTGAACTAGCTGTAACAGTGGCAACATCTTCGTGCCCCAAACTCTTTTTTATACTCTCCATTTCATCACTCAACAGTTTGAGTCTTCTATTCAAGTCCATTCCGCTAACCCTTGGCCGAATTCCCGAACGTTTAGCCATTCTGCGAAATCAAAACACCATATACGAAAAACAGTGATGCGCGACGGATGAGTACGGCGCGACACGCTGTGAAAGAATGATTCCTGCGCTAGACAGCAGAGTGTACGAGCGAGGGGTACAGCTTATCGATTTTCTTTGGAATGCGTGTGGATCGACCGTTGGCGAAAGGTACTACGATAGTTATTTACGGAGACGAGGCGGAATATAATATGAAATATACACACTCGTTAAAGTTTTTTGAAGTGTACTCTATGTAAAATGTTTCTAAGGGCCGTATCGTCAGTCGTTCCTACAATAAATTATAGGACGCATTTATGAGCTTCTTGATTGTCATAGTCTTTTCTCGCCTTCAAAAGTTTCTGAAGTTATGTTTTCTTTTTGAATTCTAGGAAATTTCAGGCTGATAAAACATGATATAATTCAAAACCATGAACAAATTGATGCAAATAGATATTTGTGAGGTTACCTTGAAATAGAGGGCTGACACGGCAAAGTAGCGAACTATGAAAAACAAGGAGGCTATAAAGGCGTCCTACAGTTGTAGGAACGACTGACGATACGGCCCTAAGGATACTGGTTGCTACGCTCTTATTGTCATTGTAACCTGTTTATCGCATATCCTTTCGGTATAGACGAGTATTAGGGTAACAACGCATGAGCCGCGAACCGCGGCGGATGGCGGTTACGCGGATGTTAGTTTATGTAGGAATAATTTGGCAGACAACTCACTGGCAATCCCGTAACCGCGCGGATGAGCGGACGCCGGCATCTGACGCAGCGAAAACGGAGATCGCGCGGACCCGCGATTCTTGACTTGTTCAGACTTGGTATAGAGACCACTCACGACAACGCATGTTCGCGCGGTTTTATTATTGATAGATAGAGAATAATTTTCTACAATAATTTTATTTAGTGTGACTTCGTGGTGTGAGATTATAAAAAAATGGGTTTTGATACTGAAAAGTATATTTATGAAATTGAATTCCGCCCACCGTTGTGGAATATGAAATGTAAAGAATAAAGTGATCGCCTATTAAAAAACAAAATGTGGGAAGAAATGGCCGGTATCTTCGGAGGAAAAGAAATGACAACAGAAGAGAAGAAAAACCTAGGTAAGTATTTGGACGTTTCTTTTATTGTTTACATAATATATTGTATTACATAGCTGCATATATACTTATCCTACAATATTATAACCTACTTGTTGCTATTCGGTATTACACATTTAATAAATTCTATGCTGAAAATTTATTGCTCACAACTAGTTAGGCGAATGTGTCGTGCCATGGAAAAGTATTGATATTTGAAAAATAATCTGTCAATAAATTTCCGTTGTTAATAATTGATCGGTTTGCTCGTTGAACTGACCTTCGTGGAATATATTCCAAGCCTTCCCGTTCGGTATGTAAAGTGTGCTTGAAATTGACTCCATGACTCTCACGAGTAAAGTTATGAAGTATACAACAAGCTTTGATAACACTGAGTGCCAATCTTATATTGACATTTAGGTGTCGATGAAATACCCGCCATTCATTGGCAAACATTCCAAAAGTACATTCAATATACCTACAAGCTCTACATAAGCGATAGTTAAACATTCTTTTATTTCGAGTTAAATTATTTCCTGCGAAAGGACGTAAAACATGGTTTGATAGACTGAGGGCCGATTTCACCAACATTAATATTATGGACCAATATGAAAATACCTAATCGAAATGCAATTTGACGGAAGCTGTCAAAGGTCTCAGAATATCAGTGATTTCTTTTAAAATGTAGAATAAAATCGTGAAAATTCGACCGTATTATAAACAAGACCACTTTTTGATTCCAACATGATGCCTTTGTACAGAGAAAACAGGACAACTTTCATGTATTTTGATTTATGTTATAGGTGTACATTTGACCATCCGTTATCCCCTCAGCGAATGGGAATGGGAGAAATAATAGGTCGATTTTCTAGCCGTTAAATTTGGCAGCAGGTTTGGTCGTTTGTTAATTCATGGCAATCTCGAAATTTGTTAAGTTCAATATACTGTGTGTATATGTGATCATTATAGCTACACACATACCTGTTGAATTGTGCGGATTTGCAAGAAAATAGAATATAAAATGTATTCCAACCAATTCCTCATGTCTCTTTACATCATAATAGTAATCATTTGTTATAAATTCATGGGTTAATGATTTTCTTCAAAGAACATCGATCTTTACGCATCGATGGTTTCATGACGATATATCGATATCGAGAGGAATCATCAACATCCGTAACCGTATACCCCGAGTCTATCCTTAACTGTGCTACCATCTCTAAGCGAGGACTGGTAGCTTCGAAATTGAAAGGCCAGAAAGCTATTTAGGTGTTTAGTACTATTTGTATATTATCATTACAGACGAGCACTGAGCCACTGAGCACTGTAGTATTTTCTTCATTCTGTACTTCCCCAAGGGATAGAATAAAATAGACTGAAAACAGCGCTTTTAATGATTTTCAGTTCTCAGAGAAAGATTTCCCCTGCCGGCCCTTGACATCGTTTCGAAATATGAAATTTTGTAAACGCTATAAAAATAAAAATGAATACACAAAGCCTACTTACCCATTTCAGACAAAAACAAAAACAACTGCCACATAACGATTGTCACCTTGACATCATTCTGCAATCTGTCATAGCAGTGATGGGCGTGCCTGCTGCACGGTATACGTTATCGATATTCGATAAAATATTTTTCTTTCTACCATGAATGAGTGGTAAAAACAAAATAAGGAGAGATCTAAAATAAGGAGTTATTGAAGGCCTAAAATAGCCAGGCGCTAATAATTCCTGGTCGTATTTGAATATCTAAGCAGGCACAGTAAAACAAAAATAAGACTTGGAATTATTAAAGTTTATTTAGACAGTTGGCAGAGTTTGCTCCACTGGGACGAAGTGTTGACGGATCCCACAGAATTATGTGTCACTTGTCGATATGGTTAGTTTTAAAATATCAGAAGATAATCAGCTGTTATTCAAATCAGTGTATATGTTTTGTGATTCAAATAACGTCTAATATAAATATAACCCAGAATATTTACTCAGTGAAAAAAGAAAAATATTTCAAATTTCTAGTTTTTCTGCAGGTTTTAGGTTTGCTGTTAGCTCTACGACATATATTTGGGTATTTCTTAATCGCTGTATTATAAAGGGTGACTTCGAAGTTGAGTCATTTATTTTAACAGTGAGTAGATCTGATCAAAAGAAATGTTTTTTTCCTTTACCATTTTCCTGGTAAAATTAAAGTAACAAAGTTATAGCCCTTTGGAAGTTTGAGTACCGCCCTGTCTCAATAACAATATTATGTGGTCGTGTTTGGCGACAATGGATATAATCCGCCGTATCGGTTCATCGCATCGGAAACAAAAATGAATGATTGTTTGGAAACGAGCAATATCTATGAACTTTTTGGTAGAGCCAGTCATCAAGTAGGTGCTTAATGGCTATCTGCAAGAGGTTTATAGGAAAAAACACCCAGTAGATGATCTTGAATCAGTAAAATCGTATATCGATTGAAAAAATAATGTAAACATGAATTAAAAATCAACAATAGTAATTAAATCACGAATTTTATTCAGAAATCAAACATTTGTTTAAATTTTGACTGAATTATATGTAATTTCTCAATATTCAATAAGCTGATGATGTTTCAATGACTAGATGTAATCTCATACTTTGACAGTATTTCGTTTTCAACATTTCATATCTATTGGTTGCTAAAATTTGTTGATTGGAACTTGAAGCTCATTCGCTGTAATTGACGGGCTGTTACCCTATAGGTGGAGAATAACGGAATGTTGTTGGTGAAATTGGCCTTGAATGCTTCATCGCCAACCAGAAAAAAGGCCTGCCACTACTGCGTCATCGGGTGTATTACAATTTACGTTCATTAGATTTTTATAAAAAACAGACTATTTAAATACTGGGGAATCACTGCACTTATGCGCCAATATAAACATAGCTGAATTTATAATTACTATCACATACTGCCAGTAAAACTATAGAAAAAAGTGTTTGTAGTTATAGTAGAGCGTTCCAGTGTTAGCTGGTTTTATAACACGAATATGTTTACCATCCACTGATCCTATAATGTGGGGAAAATTTGATCTTGATTCAAAGTCTTGGGCTATATTCAACCAAGATTCAGTTGTGGGAGTCGGAAGGCATTATGTTTTTAGGTTAATCCAAATTGATTCACAAACTTCATTAACAATTTCACTGATTGTAGTTCTTCTCAATAGATAGCTGTAGTGTAGATCAGCAAATGAGCATCTTGAAGCGAGGTATCTATAAAATAAAATTATTTTTTATCACAGGTATGTCACAGCAAAAGAAATGCAAAAATGTGCGGGACGCTTTCGTAAAGGAATATCGGAAGCTCAGCGCTTTAAAAAGTGGGTCGGGTGCTACGAAAAAACTCTTACATGTTCTTCAATCACCTTATGTTTCTGGAAGACGTTGTTGCTATAAATACAAGATATAATAATTTCACTGAAGTAACACAAGAAACGCAAAAACAGGCAACGGAAGTAGACGAAGTAGACCAAACGGAGGACCCGATGACACTACATGCAAAGTACTCTAAGACGGAAGAAGAAAAGGCGAATGACACACAAGAAGGTGAAAACATAGGCGCAGAGCTTATAAACGTTCTAAAACAAAATGTATCTAGTAATGACGATGACCCAGACCGCCACTTTCTACTATCGTTGCTAAGCGATTTTAACATTTGAAAGGAATAACTAAAATAAATATAGTGCAAGTGACCATGGCTACCGACCAGCGCTACATTTACCAAATGCGTCCACCACAACCCCAAAACTATACACATAATGCCACTTCGTGCAGTTTCGATAGAAATACTCCAGATCAGTATGACACTGTGAGAAACACAAGTTCTCCTGAACCTAATTCTACAATTTCAGATCATTCTCACATATCTAATTACTATGAATTGTTTTCTACACAAAATCAGTTATGATTACCATATGATTATGAGTTGTTTGTTTTTTCAATAAAATAAATTCAGGAAGTCAAACACAGTTTTTCTCAGAAGTAATCTCGGACACGTCGTTGATTAGTATTTCAAATTGCGCTTTTTGAGGTTGTAGGAAAATTTAGAATTTGATATAATGTTTAATGATAATAAATTAGGACCTTTATTTTATTTTAATCCTTCAAATGGTGTATCCATAGCTTGTTAATTTAATAAGGTCTCTCTGTGTAACTTACCTTAATGTAACTAGAAGCTTTTCTTCAGGACATAACACATGGGCGCATGTTCGTAATTACTCCAGTTATGTTCCTTCTAATTTTATTCAGTAATTCATCAAAAGATGCCGTTGCAATTCTTGTATAGTTGAAAAACTTATCTTCGTAGTTTCTCAACTCTCTGCACAATATTACGAAAGTTTCATTGGTGCTCCTTCTTTGGAGTAGAGAATGAACCCAATATTTTCGTTTACAACAAGGTTTCCTTCGTTTTTTCGAAATAGATTTGTACAAAAACCAATTGGCCAGAGCTGCTACCGCTAACCTAGCAACCAGCCATCCGCGACGGTTTCCGTAAAGCAGTCCGCACTTCCCCGCAGTACCGCTCATCCGCCACCCGCCGCGGTGCGCGGCTCGTGCGTTGTTACCCTTAGCGTGTATGTTTAGCTTTTACTTCGAGTAATCCACCAGACAGCGGTAGCACTATCAGGTGGTTATCGAATACGCAGATGACAGCCAAAGGAGATGAAAGAAAGTATCTCAATCTATAGGAAACAATTACCATCGCAAAATCAACCACAACAGAGGCACGCCTACAAATCACTTTTACGAGCACATTTCAAATTTCCGTCACCGCACTAAATGAGGCAGTCCCAGATGAATAAAATTAACAAATCATAACTGTTTGTGTTAGCATTGGCTGAACCTACTAGTATGTCTACAAAGTAAGAAGCATGTAGACCAGAATGCAGTAGTGTATAGACACAGATAGTGGTTTAACTAGATACTGATGAAATACTTTTCATAGCTAATGAAATTAGTTGCAAGAAGGATAAATAGCCAGCATTAATTTCACAATTTGAATGTTTTTCGTATATACATTTTAGATGAGAATGTTGATTTTCCATAAGTAACTGTTCGGTAACCTAGCACTTACGACTTGTCTATTCAATACCAAACATCCGACCTACCATATCAGAATTAATCAAACAACCTGTTTCTCCCTGAATATTGAAAGATTTTGAAAGATATATTTTGCTTTTCAAGAGCCTGGAGATATTACAAATAAAGATGTCATCTGCTATGAAAATCACATCATGTAGGGAATTTAATTAATGCACCTCATACACAGCAACAGCCCACCGCCACTGGAGACAACCCAACCAAGCCGAGGGTCTCTATAGAATGCCGTTCCTTTTATCTATAACTTATTGCTGGGACATTACCTTCCAGTATCAACAATGCTTTTTAGATTGTCAACGTTGCAATTCGGTATATTTGGAGCGCAGAAAATGAAAGAGGTATGTGCAACTTGGATCGCTTATTTTTGTACATATATATATATATATATATATATATATATATATATATTCCTGTTCCATAGTTATCACCAGCCAGGTGGAATTTGCTATCACAAGCAAAATCTAATGCTAGTTTCCCATAGATATACCTAATTTCTACCTGTTATTAATGAAAAATGGTACTTTCGCGGTTTCGCAACCTCTCATGTGCATATTAATGACCTGCTAGAAGGCTATCACAAAACAAATGGAATTTGCTATCACATGCAAAATGTAACGCTGGACTTACATAGATGAAACCTAATCTCTGTCTGTTATTAATGAAAACTGGTACTACTTGGGCGGTTTCCTAACCTCTCATGTGCATCCTTACAATCATGTTCCATGTTTATCACAAACCAGGTGAAGTTTGCTATCACAAGCAAATGAGAAGATATTGTTGACCATACTTTGTCGTTACATTGTCCCAAACGCTTTCAGTGTTATTTGTCGTAGGATCTTAGCCATCACAAACTAAGTACAAGGTACCATCGCAAGCTACGGCGTTCACTGTTGAATCATTATCCCAAGCCACTTCAGAAAAAGATGCCTGCATGCCACTTTCTGATTCTGCTCCGCGACGAAAGGAACCTTGAAGGTGTCCTTCCGACGGCGTCTCGCCGACAGTGCACATCTATCGGCCCACCTTCATTCCAGTTGTCTAATATTTATGTTCAGCAATGTCTATATGAGAAGTACCTTTGTCGTTTCTTACGTTTAGGCACCTCGCCACTGCTGAAAACGTAAAAATCAATGCGCGAACCCGAGTACGGTGTTAACGTGGTGTTAACCTCTTGGCCCGAGAACAAGGAATGAGAGTTTGTAGGCCAGGAGCCGGAGAGGAGGAAGGTGGGAGGGCACGGTGAGCCGCTCTTCTTCGCTGCATGAGCGCTTTGAACTCGTGGGCTTTGGTCGAAAACGGGATACTACATGTCTATTCTATTTACGAGACGACGCCGGGACATAATTATGCATTTTTCCGTAAGATTATTAAGAAACTCAAAATAATTTCCAGCAATTTCTCTTGAACACGTTTATTATGAAATGTTTTAACCGATTGTGGGATACGAAAGAGATAATATGATAATAGCAATATAACGATAAACGTGAAAACATCCCATCTTAGAAGATTTCGAAGTACCGCCCCGTATCATTACATTTTTACTACATGGGCAGTACGTAAACAATTCGGTATGGGCAACAATGTCAGGGTAGTATTAAAGTCACTTACTTGGTGACGAAACGACAACGAGTTATCCTCCTTTGGCAAGCGATAAGGGCGATATAATCGGATTGTTGGGGCCAACACCTATTTTTAGAAAAAGACTTATGAGTATCTCCCGTATTCAACTGACTCATGACAGCACATGCACAAATCTACTATTTACCATTACATTAATGTACCCCAACTACTATTACGGATTCGTCATCGACTGAATCACGGGATCGTCATCACACAGACTGATCCTGACCGTCATCACACAGACTTAATAGGAGTCGTCACACAGACTCAATCTAACTCTTTGGTCGCTAGGTGTATGGTCAGACGTGCTGAGTTTAACGATTGTTACAAAAAGACAGTCCAGGAACCGGGATATCACGCTGGCCAAGGGCCGTTGTGTCAATACCCCAAATCTCCGACGTTACCCCTGAATCAGAGGTAACCGAGCAATATGACTATCATTAAAGTAACAATCCCTTTACACATCCTGCCATGAAATACATTCAGACTCCAGCGATTGCCAAGAGAAGATAGTTAAGCGGTCATTCAGACCAAGGATGCCACTTCGGCCAAAGGCCACCGTGTCAACATCCAAAGCGCTCCGACGTTTCCCCTGGTAGAGAAAACCGAGCAGTAAGTAACATAACTACCTCAACCCAGCAAACGGGCTCCGAAAGTCCCATAACAACCCCCAGAACCTGGAGGCGTCCCACCTGCGGATATTCAATAACAAGTCGTAAGCCATAAGTTAAATTAAGAAGATAAAAAGTATAGCATCTTTATAAACATGGCTTAAGACATTCATGATCATGAATATAAAAGTATTATGGTTATCAATCCATGCAGTACAGTAGAATAAAGAAAACACTCAGTGATTGCTCACCTTTCAGGTAACCAAAACACCACACCCAATAGCACATCAACACTGTAATGAAGTTCACAAAGCGCACTACTTGGTCTGAGAAGCGATCTCATCCACGCGATAATTGAAGTGTATCGCCGTCCACGCCCGTATAACAAAGTTTATCCTGGGAACAAGTACCCAGAGAAGGAATGGAATGTATAATGTAAACAGGCGTAAGGGCTGTCGCGCTGAGTGACACCAAGCAGCCTTGTGAACCTTCTGGAAAGGTTTTGTGTGCTACAGGGTTGGACTCGCATGCAAAAAAATGTGTTTGAGATATTTCGTAAGCTTACACGATAGATCTGGGTTAAGCGGTTGCCGTGATACAACTGGCGTCTTTTATTATTGGCCCACCCTGTACAGGCTGATTTATCTAAACACGAAAAATCTTAAATAGCACAACCTTTAGGTACTAGTGAACCGATTTTGATGAAATTTTTCTTCTAGGAGTGATATAAAACTATTCGGATCGTTAAAAAGTCCAAGCCAGGCCAAGGCCAGACACGGTTTTTACAACTCTTCTAAATTCAATTTTAAGATGAAATATTGCAATATATGACTATGCACACAAAAAGCCAATGAATCATGCTTATTAATCACCGCCTTTTTTGATTTTTTAGTTATTAGTTAAACAAACCAACTAGATTTTATCAACGTTTTACAAACAAATGCTTACTATTGAGCTAAAGATGTTTTGGGAACACAAAATTTCATGTCCGTATTAAGTTATTTTATTTGTTTTATAAGTACGACGCTCTGAAGACTTTGAATTTATTATTTCGGATAAAAAGATATAAATGACATAAATAAAAGTCAAAATTGAGTTTATGCACCCTTTTTACTTTCCTGCTTTTTGATGAGATTCTACATGAATTCTGCTTAGAAAGGAGTCGGCATCTAGTTTAGTAGTAGTGGAAAAAAACCTACATACCTCGTTTCAGATGGCCATTATTGATCTTACACACTATATTCTTCGGCGCTACTCGCCTGAGGATATACAGGATGTCCCGAAATTGAAGGACAATCCTGCAACTGTAGATAGGTCACATTATGGCCTACTATATGGGGGATTTTTGTTTTATTAAGAGTCTTATAGTTTTTAAAATCATCTCATCCAGCATTGTTTTTCCTTGAGGTGGGGAAAAAACCCACATAAAAGTCAGTGCCTCTTGTTATTTGTATTTTGAGCTTTATAGTTATTTTCGCGTTGAGTTTTTATTGGTTTTCTAGTTTTTGTGCCTTGAGAGACAGTTGTTTCACTATGCCCAGATACGAGAGGTATGCATCTCATTTACGGAGAAACTGAAAAACTACTGACTTTT